GCCTCAATTGTTATGGTGAGTGTGACTCCCACACGATTTGAGGGAACCTGCTCGATTATCGTGTGTTCTTGAGAAAAGAGCTGATTGGATGAAATAGAATTTTATATTGCTTTCTATGTTTTAAAAATATTCTTTGTACATTTGTTGAATTCGGGAGTATGGTTCAGGTTCAAGTATATGTGATTCTTTATATTTGATTTTCAGCAGTTCAGAAAAGTTTTGAGTTCTAAATCAGCTTTTCCGCAGCTAGTAACCCTACAGCTACCTATGTGCTACACAGAGATATATCACTGAGCTACATTTTCAGCCTCTGTATAACTGATTTTAGATATTGAACTTATTTTAAAAAGAAGTCTCATGAGATCTAACTCATTCAAAATTTTTACATGTACAATAAAATATTATTCACCATATGTGTCATATATACCTCTCAAAACTTTTTATGCACTGCAACAATATGGCTGTCGTCAGCAAATCTCCATTCCTTCCCTTCTAGGCAGCTGTCACCAACATTTCACTTGTAGTTTCTGTAACATAGAGTGATTTAGATTTTATAGAAATTGAAATTATGGACTATTTCCTCATCTTTACTTGATTTTACACAACATAATATTCTTAAAACACATCCACAGTGGGGGTTAAAAAAATTGAGAATTGCAAATAGAAGAATCAGATATTCACCTGCTTAATAACCAAATTAAGTTCAAAATTTCTTTTAAAGAAGTTTATTACATTTCTAATGACTGAATAAGTGAATAAATAAATTAGACCCAAATTATCAGCTATTGCACAATTTCCTTCTTTGTATTTATTTTCCTGTTTGAAAAAGACAAAATAACACTTGTTTCATTGAAAACACAAGTTTATCCAGCTTGTGTTTTCCAAGCTTGTGTTTTACAAAAACGTAAGAGGAATCATTTTGGATATTATGTCTATTACTGAAATTTATATGAGAGTTCTAATAATTAATAGATTCAAATTTTTCATACAAATACCTAAAATTGATTGTTGTACATGTGGCTTGACTCTCTAGTTTATGTATTTTTCATATTGTTTTCTACCATGTCTACAGTCATTCTGTCAGGCAGTTCATAGAGTGCCAAATCTTCCAAATTATTGTCATCTTTTTGTTGTAGCTGCTGTTATTTCTAGTAGCTTCTGTAATATATGCAGGACTTACCACACATTGTACTTTGAGTTTCTATATCTCAAATTATTACTAATCCTCAATTTTTTATATTTTTAAATCATTTGCATTTTTCATTATGAAAAGTGTCTGTCTAGCGCTGTAGCCCACATATTCTTTGAAATATTAGTTTCTTTTTTTTTCTTTTTTTTGCTTTTATTTTTATTTTTTTTGATAACAATAAAATTCTTCATAGGAAAATTTGCATGGGTTCAGGTACACAATTTCTGTACAAGTATAGGCAGACATCATCAGATTTGTGCTATCACATACATATGTTATCTTTATGTAGTATTTCAAAGCTTGTAGACCAAAAATGTTATTATTATTATTTTTTCAATAATACACTGCATACATTCTTCCCAGTGGTTAATTGCTGTACAAGATGCAGACCTGTGATCCTACTTACAAACAGCATTAGAACAAATCATTCTATTCATTAAGAGAATGCAACTATATATCTATCCCAACCACTTTCAACACACAGATACAAAATGGACATTCATAGTTATATCCCAATTTTTTTAAGTTCTGTTGTTGAATATTATAGGTGTGTAAACTCAGCAAAATATTCCAAAAGAGTCCAGTAGCCCATAATAGCATTGGGTCCTCTGTTTAACTGGCAATGTCAGAAATTATTGACCTGAGTCCCCCACAGCTCAACATAACAACATGGCTTTACTTCCTATATGAAATATTAGTTTCATTACTTTTTTTTTTGTGGTACCGGGTCCTTTTTTCAATTGAGATACAGAGAATCATTGCTCTATGATTTTAACATTTACAAGAATCAAGATCTTACTTTTTCCATATTTCATCACGTTTATATCCATTATATTTTAATATAATTTAGGAGACATCCTTCCTTGATGATAGATTCTCTGAGCTCATACCGGAATAAATTAATAAAATAAATGATCAGCAATTGGTAATACTTCACATTTTATAAAACACTATTTAAATGCTTATTGATATTCCATTTAGAGTAGATTTGGGTGGGGTTAATATTACATTGAGTTTCCCATGGTACTAGAAACCACAGGAATTTCTCTTCTCCTAATGTTGAAAATGGATCTACCCATTATCCATTAGTTATGTATCAGTGTTTTATGGAATAAATTTTCCTTCCTAATAGATAAGATTGTTTTATGTCTAAGTTGTAAGTAGAGATTTTCAACCAGTCTCTTCAGTTTTAAATTACTATTCTTCCCTTAAATATTGTGTAAACACGGAAGCATCTTTTAAAATTTGTAGAACTAAATGACTCTTCTTTACAAGAATTTTGCCTAGGAACACAGAACGGCATTAAAATTTAAGAACAAAATAATGTTTGGAGCATTTTGTCAGGGAGTCATACACTTTAAGTTGTACTTAAAGTTTATACATTCAACTTTAGGGATCATGCTGCCAAAAGATCTAAAATTAGCATTTGTCTTGGGTCATAGAACATATTTCTTAATATCTCAGAGTGTACACGGAAAATGGGAAACTTCTACAGTCTTTACCAATTTGTCTGAATTGTTCATGATTAAGTCCCCCCAAAATTCACTGAATTGATTCTCAGAATTTTGTGCTGGTCTATACTTAATCTATTTTATTCATTTGTTTGCAAGACACACCACTGTAGTCCACACCAAAACAGGGACATGTAGACTGAAGATTTCAACGACTTTGAATTACAACTTTCCACTGGACTCATCTGTGTGTTGAGGTATGCGTCATTACCATTAGACCCAGGAACCTCATGCATGTAGTTTTCCCAATTACAAAGGTTGCTCATTTTAATTCAGTGAATTTTTAATTTGCATATTTGATATTGCTATTAGTATGATTGCCAAAGATAAGCAATATGACAAAAAAATTCACAAATATTTCAGGCAATATGATTCTGGAGTCAAAATTAAGAGTCTACAGGCACAATAATGCTGGCATTCGGCAATGTTTGTTATTGGGGATCATCACGTCTCACTGTGATTCTGTGAATTTACTACTGTACAGAAAGAAGTGGAAAGTCTTACAAATTGCAGTGTCAGCAGTTCTCTAGGATATATTTTCTGAGAGAAATGTATCTTTTACATGATATCACTTATGTGGAAAGAAGGAAAGATTTATCTAAATTTCTAAGAGCATAGTGCAGTGGAGTTTCATAAATGAACACAAATATATATCTAACGTAGCAATAGAAAGAATGTTCTTATTACACTGAATCTGTCTTCTGTTTCATCTACATTGATACCATAATGTCATAGTTCAACTGGATACTAAGTCTTGTTTCACATTTTGCACCAATAAATTAAATAACTTTCTCTAAGTTTCAAATTTGTATGCATTGTATGAGAGTATTGGAACATTTTATTATTGAATATTACTGATATGATTCATTGTTATTGTTTTATAGGATTTTCTTCCTTCTATATCAAATAATCAAGTAATTTTTCTCAATGCTAATGGCCATAGAGTTTCAATTTAATGCTCTGGTAAGTAACGAAAAAAAATTAGAGTATGGATGTATCTCCATGTGTGATCCGTGTTTCAACTGCTAATGAGTAAAATCCAAGAAATCAAATCATTGCAACATAAAATTTTATTTTATAAGTTTAGAGGGATACTAACAAATTGTTTTCTGAAATAACTGAATCCATTATAACACTCCCACAAACATATGTGTCATTGGTTTAATAATCTTTTCATATACTTGATTTTCCTCCTATATTTATTTTAGCATTCTATATGATGTATTATACTATCTGAGTTTATTTGCATTTTCCTGATTATTAATGTCATTGAATGTATTTTCTAGGTGTATTGTCCATTAAATAATGTGACTTTTGAAATTTCAGTTCCAATACATCTCCACTTGTCTAATACTGCTTTTCTTTGTTTTTTATTAATTTTATTGAGAAACAAATAGCAATGAGGAAGTTTCAAAACAGGTTAGTAGGACACTTGTGATAATTAATACATTGCATATTGTTGTCTTCACAGTTGTTATTCATAGTACAAGATGCAGACATGATATCCTATCCAAACACTATTAGTACAAGTCTTTCTTCTCATTGAATTAAGCAAAAGTAGCTGTAAATCTATCCTAACTATTTTGAACATACAGATATAAAATGGTCCTTCATTTATATCCCCATTTTTGTTTAGTTTTGTCAGAAATGGGTATTCCCTTGCCATTTAAATATTGGAGGTGCGTGAATTCAGTCAAATAATCCAATGAAGTCCAGTAGTCCACAATAGTAGTGGGTTATCCACAGTCGAACTTGCAAGCATCCTTAGTGATAAAGACACGGATTTATCTCCCTGTTTCTCAATTCCATCTCCATTTTTATCCACCTCATCGTCTGTGCCATTCTCTCTGTTTCTTTGTATGCAATTATGTGTTCAAGGTTCAAAATAGCTCTAAATGTTAATATAATATTCAAATTCATCTATAGACTTAATCTGTTTCTAAGAAAGATTGTATTCTTTATAGTCAATAAATAATTTTCCATAAAATATTTGATATGTACCTTATGCATGTGTTTTGGAATCCAATCAAACTTGTTCTGCACTGTGATGTATAGAAAATTGTTTTTTTTCTTTTTGTAATATAACTTAAGATATATTTCTGGTCTTACTGAAAATATTGGGCTTTCGTTTACATATTCTATCACTTACCCTTTCTCTCTAAATTTAACAGTGCCTTATCTTAATTCATGATTTTCCACTGAAATGTTCTGCAAATTGTCTTCAATTCCTCTAGCATTTTAAGATATGAAAAATCCCACAGGAGCACATCTGTAGGAGTATTTTGTTATTATTCTGTACAATGAACAATGCCACTGAGAGGAATGATTGTTATTCCAACTTAAGTGGCATTTTAAAAGAAAATGACAAAATAACCTCTAAAGATTTGGCAGGAAGAATAATCTTTTTGTCACAGACTGTCATTGGTGTCCTGGGAAATTTTCTTCTCCTTTTATATTATAGTTTCATTTTCCAACATGGAAGGAAGGTAAGACTCACAGACGTATTTCTGAAGCAACTTTTTATAGCCAACTCCTTAGTTCTTCTCTCTGGAGGAGTTCCTCAAACAATGGTAGCCTTCAGGTTGCAATACCTTTTCAATGATACTGCATGTAAATGTCTCCTCTACATTGATGGAGTGGGAAGGGGGATGTCAATTGGTACCATCTGCCTCTTGAGTGTCTTCCAAAACATCATTATCAGCCCCATAAACTCTTGTTGGAAGGATGTTAAAGGTAAAGCTCAAGAATATATTGGTTTCTCCATTCGCTACTGCTGGATCCTTAATATCTTGACCAATTTAATTGTTCGTCTGTATGCATGGTATTCATCAGTAAATGGTTTTGACAGAATCATCAAAAAGAAAGTAGATATAGGATACTGCTGTCTTGTTGATTATGGAGTGGCCATTGGTTCCATCTATACAGCATTAGTAACTTTCCCTGAAGTTTGTTTTTCTCTGCTTATAGTCTGGTCCAGTGGCTCTATGATTTTCAACCTGTACAGACACAAGCAAAACGTCCAGCACATTCATATGTCCAGTACTTTCTTAAAATCTCCTGAGTCCAGAGCCACACAAAGCATCCTTTGTCTGGTGGGCACCTTCATAACTTTTTACACTGTGTCCACAATCATTCGAATTTTTATTACTTTAGCTTATAGTGTCAGTTTGTGGTTGGTGAGTGTTTCTGATGTAATTGCTTTGTGTTTTCCAACTGTCAGCCCTTTTCTCATCATGAGCCTCTATTCCTCTAAGCATTGGCACTGCTTTTCCTGCACATAAAGAACAAAACTTCGCTAATATGCTCCAAAAAGTACCAATTGTGTATTGTGCTAGTACTTTCTGATGTTTAGTCTTCATTTCTATTGATGAGTAATACGGAAGCACTGAAAGAGTCTCTGTGTCTTTCATAGCTCAACTCATGGATTTTCAGCTGACTAAAGGCAATATTCCATGGGTGTAATCGGTGTCCCTCTCATATAGACATCTGAATGAAGTGTCATGGAGGCCATTTTAGTGGACTTAATTTATTTTGTTTATTGCTCACAATATTTTCATAAATTCTACATATGTGGAAGCTTTAAGCAAAAGGGAATACTTGAAGAATAGGTAGAAGACACTTTTGAAGGACACTTCTCTGTGGATGTTCTATGTTATATTTTCTGGTTTTCCTAATTGCTTACTTTTCATGCATGTTTACACTAATCAAGGACCTGATATGATAGATATATTGTCAATGTTTGTGGGTTACAGTAAAGGCTTTTCTTCTTTATATGGAAATTGACTGAAATCGTGGTTTAATAACTCCTAAGAAGTGGAGAATTTTGCATTTCCCAGAGAATGAATTGGAGATTTCAAGATTTTGTTGTAGCAAAGAAAAATAAGCAAATGCACAATGATTCCTACTCTACAAGTATCGGATGCAGTGATGATGTCTATTTTTCAGACTTTCAGCACAACTGTACAATTAAGCCTTGGCTCCTAACTTCGATGGCTACATCTACATAGCTTCAGGGAATTTGGTTTTCAATCAAATGAACTTGATGTGCTGTAAAAATACTGTAAATCTTTCAGGATTAACTTGGATTCTCTGAAATAATAAAGTTTATTATACAATCTTTTAAAATATCAGCAACATTATTATCACACATGTGATGATCTGTGTAAGGCTCAAGGCTGAGAATGAGGCCCATCTCTTCTCCCTTACTGCATGAAACAGTGAGCTGTGTAGGAGAGAAACCCTACCCATCGGCTCTCTGTCACTGTGGGAACCTCAGTCCAGAAGAACCCTGTGCTTGGCCAATTCCCCTTAAACCATGGGTTGGGCAGTCAGTGAGGGAACTACCTGAGACTTGGCAACCAGCTCAATTAAATGAACACAGAGTTAATTCACTTTAACAAAGGAAACTCTTTGCATTCTATCTCATAATTTATTATAGATCAACAGGGCAGAGCTTTGATGATTTTCTTGTTTTCATGATGGGGAAGAGGAACATTTCACCCTGACCTGCTGTGCTGTACTTGTAATGGCAGCACAGTTATTATGTGTCTTTAAAAAAAACCTCTTCCATTCTTTGTATAAAGTGTCAATGATGGTATCAGTGGAAAAATGAAAGTAAATCTAAAACTGATGTGAAAGTCTGACTCATTTTAGGAAACCTCTCTTGGTGACTGCCACAATGTTATCAAACAATAGGTGTGCATGCCAGGAGAGGTGATAGGCCTTCACTCTGGTCCTAGGCAAGATATGTTATTATTCCCCAGTTACCTGTATGTCTGCTGGCCTATTCTATCCATGGGTCCTGGCACATGGCCCCAAGTATAGACCTGGATGTCTGAAACCAATTAGGGAGACAATGCTACAATGTAACCTGAGTCTTTCAGCATATGTCATGCAGGTTTATGGCACTGAAAATTTACTCAGTGCGATAGCACCTGCCCTCACAATCATGGCAAAAACTGAGCACCTAGTGGCTATAACGGGAGCAGTGGCAGAAGTGTTCATTTCTTGACTTCAGCTGAGGGCAACAGAAGCTGTGTGCATCCCCACTCCTCTGCCCCTGTAAGCTAGATCCCAGGACAACTTTTCGGGTGTCTCTGCTGTTCAGCTCACCATTAGTCAGTCGCACCTACTACACCAGAGATGCATGCACAGCTATAAGAGTGACAGTAGCCTAGATCACAGAAGAGGACAACCGAAGAAAGAATTTTGTCAGCTACTACTGAAGAAGCTGCAATCACCACATCTGCTGGGCTGGGAAAGTTCTGATGATAGAGCTCATTCTCCACAATGAAGCAGGACAATGAAGCTGCTACCAGCTCCTGTCAGGACCAAGTCAACAGAACAAAAAGTACAGCAAGATGCAGGAACCCCAATGCAGTGCAAATAAAGATAATGATTCAATTTACTCAGAATACTTCTCAACCCACAGATTCTTAGATGGCTCAATTGGCCATTTCCCCCCTTGACAAAAACTCAGCAATGATAATTAAAAAAAAGGAATCCAAAGATTTTGAGTTTTCTAAAACATACCGGGTTCAATATGTGCATCAATTAAAGGAAAAGCAGTTTAAAGGACTTCTAGACAGAAGTGTTACATATTTGCAGTAACAAAGGTGCCAGATTGCTGATTTGTAAGGATGCAAAGGTCCATTCCCCCAGGAATAGAGCACCATGGAGTAGTGTGGTTGTTTTCTCTTTCTATTATAATTGACACTGAAAAGAGGGCTTTCAGGTTTTCTTTCCCATAAAGTGTTTAATTAATTAATTAATTAGAAACATTGCCCATTGTCTAAGTAAATGTTTATTGCAGTGATAACTTTTGTCTTTGACAGTTTTAGCCAAGATTTTCCACATTTGTAGATAGTATGTCTAATAAATAAAAGCTATGTTACTTAATTACATTATTTTTGTCAATATTATAGAGGATGTGCTACTGAACTACGAATGTTTTCTAAGTATTTCGTGTTCTCTTGATTTCTAATTTCTTGATTGCCTGTTTTACAGTCCTAAAATTATTTGTTATTGAAAAGCCTTGGTATTTTTATTTTTATTTTTTTCTCAAAGTTTTATTGACAAAGAGATAGCAATGAGACAGTTTCAAATCAAATCGGAAGGACAGTTTCAACAAATAATACACTGCATATATTCTTCTTAGTCTTTAATTGCTGTACAAGATGCGGACCTGTGATCCTATTCACAAACACCATTAGAACAAATCATTCTATTCATTAAGAGAATGCAACCATATATCTATCCCAACCTCCTTGAATACACAGATACAAAATGGACATTCATCGGTATACCCCATTATTTCTAAGTTACATTATTGAATATTATAGGTGTGTAAACTCAGCAAAATATTCTAAAAGAGTCCAGTAGCCTATAATAGCATTGGGTCTTATATTTAACTGGCAATG